CCTGGCTGCCAAAGCCTCGCTCGGGGGCGGCGGAGGTGGAGGACTCTTCGCCGCCTCGGGTGCCATCTCTTATGCTGAGGTCCTAAAGCAGGGGCCCCTGGCTGCTGGCGCCACTCGCCCCTTGGGAGAGGTCCCTCGGGGGTCACAGGAAGCCGAGGGCGGTGACGGAGACGGCGAAGGGTGTTCTGGTCCCACCACGACGCCTGCATCCCATGCCCGGGCCCCACCTCCACCACCCTATACCACCTTACCAGGCTCAAAGCCCAAATTCGACTGGGTGAGCCCCCCTGATGGCCCTGAACGCCACTTCCGCTTCAACGGGGCTGGCGGAGGCGTCGGGGCGCCCCGACGGCGCGCTGCCGCGCTCTCCGGGCCCTGGGGCTCCCCTCCGCCACCGCCAGGGCAGCCGCACCCAGCTCCCGGGCCCCGGAGGCCCGCGGCGCCGCCTATGTTCATCTTCCCGGCGCCCACCAACGGGGAGCCTGTGCGCCCGGAGCCTGCTGGCCCTCAGGAGTTACCGCCGCCGCCGCCCACGCCCACGCAGCAGCCGCCCTTACTCCAGGCAACGCAGCTACCGGTGGTGCTCCCGCCCACCCCAGGCCCTGGCCACGTGGAGTCAGCCTTGGCTCCCACCCCAACTCCCATTCTGCAGCCCCAGCCCCGGCTCCAGCCCCGGCTCCAGCTTCAGCTCTCACCATTGCCGCACCATCGCCACCTGCGCCCGCGCCCATCAAAGCCCGCACACGGAAGAACAAGGGTCCCCGCGCGGCCAGGGGTGTGACCCGTGAAGATAGTGCACCTGGAGTTAGTACCCGCCAAGGGACTCCAGATACTGTGACTGACAGCAGCGGTGGAGGAGGAAACGGGGCCCTTCCAGCAGGTACTGCTACCACCGGTGCCACACGCCATTGGCCGCCCTTCCAGGTGCTTAACTCCTGTCCCTGCAAGTGTTACTGCCGCCACCAACTGCGCCATCGCCGCCTGCCACGCAATGTGTCGGCCTGGTGAGCGGCGGTCTGGAAGCGGGGAGGGCAGGGCATCCCCCTTGAAAGTCCTGAACCCAGACCTTCCAGCAGAGTCCTTTTCAGCCCTTTAATGACCTGACCCTACACATGACTACATCCAGCTGAGAAGCAAGAGATTTGATCTCCTACTGGAGATCCCCTTGGTATCCAGACCCCCAGGTTAACCTTAGGTCCTCCTGTTACACTTTGGAGCCATCAGAGAAGGAAGCTGGTCACTACTGGCCAATCCCTGTTCACAGCCTTGACCTTGTCTATAGGCAACTGTGAGGGACCATGTCCTCAGGGGTGTAGTTTTCCTGGGACCAAACGAGGGTAATGTAGGGCTCCAGCGTTCCTGGACACAAGGAAGCCCTGGCTTTGGACCTCCTGATCTGATCCCTCCCGCCAGCCTTTGACATCCGGACTCTGGGATCCAAGGCTTTGACCACCAGAGGGCACTGGCAATCCAGCCCTTCTGCTGCAGAGGTTCCTCAAGTCCCCACATCCGGGGTGATGCTGCACCCCCCACCCTATAATCAATCTCTGGATCTGGTCACCAGGATCTGATTTTAGCTCCTTAAGACAATCACTGGGCATCTTAGGAGCTCAGCAGGGAAACTATCATGACAGTACCCTCTGCTACAAAGATGAAGTGGATATAGCCTTACCCCAAACTATCTTTGGGATCTTTGGACATGGCTTCCAGAAGCTTCCTTACTCAGGCAGGCGAAATGAAGGCTGAGAAGGGCTAGGGGTCTGTTTGCACAGCCAAGCTCTGCTGATCCCACTCTCCTCCTAGGCTGAACACGCCCACCAACCACCTGAGCGAGCCACCCTGGGTGGCCACTATCAAGATGGCTGGCTCCCTGGTAGCTGGGCTGGAGCACTACGACTTGCAGGCCACCCATTCCAACTGAACACAGTCTGCCAATGCCCTCTGCCTCCCTCCCCCTCAACCATGCCAATAAAGCGCTAACCCTGGTGCCTAGCTGCCTGCCAGTCACTTGCTGGGGGTTGAAGGGTCAGCAGGACAGACGTCTCCATGAGAGCAGCACATCCTGAACAGCTTCGGGATGAGGTGGTCTCATTCCCCCTCATACTATCAGCCCCATTTCTGAGCTAACCTACTTCTAAGAGTGGCAAAACCTACCCTGGAAAAAGTGATTATTCTCATTTTACAGTTGGGAAATGACTCAGGAAGATGAGAATCCATATCCCACAAATGGCTCAGCTAGATTTGGATTATGTGCCTTAAATACCTTCCCAAGAACTTTAAGGCAAGAATCGAACTGAGGGGCTGGGGAAGACCTTAAGTCACACCTGGTGCAGGAAGGATAAGAACAGGACAAGCCCATGGCAGGGCCCACAACTTTCACTCCACGAAGAGCTCAAACTGGTAGCCCACAGATGGGTTCCACTTCATATGTCACTTTAAAAATTGTTTAATTCATTGGCAACATTTTAAAAAACTGGGGAACTTCAGCCCCTTCAATGAGAAAACCTGGTGCTCTGGCCCAGCACCCCATTCACAGCTGGCTGGAACAGTCCCTCTGCCTGGGCCCAACCACAGGCCACAGCGCCAATGGTGCTCTCCAGTGGGGATGGGTCTGAGACCCCACACAATGGTTTCTGGACAGAAACTGACCCAGACAGAGGGTGTTACTTCCAACCTCCAGGGGCCCCAAAGTTCTTCCGAGATAAGAAACTGTCTCCCGGCCATCCCAATTGGGAAGACAGGGCCTGGAAGAGAGATCAATGCACCTTTATTGGAGGAAACCCTGCTCTGTAACTGTTTTAAATAATGCACGCCCTGCCCCACCCAGTGCCCAGCGGGCTCAGACGATCATCTCCAGCTGCCGAGCATACTCGATGACCTGTTTGGCCAATTCCGTGGAGGGGATGGTGGTGTCTTCCGGCTTCTGCTGCTGACTGGCAAAACTGTAGTAGTTGCTGGGGCCCAGGACCCACCCTCGCTGTAGGAAGGGAGGGATGAGAGGTGGGTAGGATGATCACAAAGACTTCCCTCCCCACCCCATGGGGCCAGCACTTAACCCACATGCCATGGCCTACTTCCCTCACCAACCTACTCTACCCACAAAAATCCAGGCAGGTAACTTCACCTCTCTGTGCCTCAGTTTCTCCATGTTTTAAACAGGGACTCTAATTACACAGCTCTTTGCATCTACTTTAAGGATTAGGTGAATTGGGACCAGCAGGTGGTGGAGTGGTTAAGGTGCTGGATTCCACGTAACCACATTTCAAGTCCCACACCTGGCGCATGTGTACCCAAAATCCTGAGAGGAAAATGGAGAAAGCACTGCAGACCGGCCAACTCCCTGGGGGGTGATTTCTTGTTTTCTGTCTGTCTGTCTGTCTCTATGGTGAGCTCACACGCTCTATAGAAAAGAGAAATAGCTCCCAAAAAAGATTAGGTGGGGGCCTGCAGGTGGTGTGGTTCTGCAGGTGGTGTGGTTAAGGGTGCTGGACTCCCACATGGCCAACCATGGTTTGAGTCCTGGACTGGGCACCTTGCTTTCTCACTTTCTCACTCTCTATAAAACCTCTCTCTATATATAAAAAAAATATATATATATATATATCTTGCCTCATTCTATGGATAGGGAAATGTGCTCAGAGAGGTTTGGTGATTTGCCTGAAGTCACACAGCTGGATTAAAACCTGGGCAATCTTTTTGCAGTGTCCCACTAGGCCATCCCATACTGCTGTTGAGTGCACCCAACCCCACAGCCCTTCGCCCTGAATCCCAGCCACCTTCTTGGCATAGTCCGTCATCTTTTTGGGTGTATTGAAGAAGAGGATCCGGGTAGCCTCAGTGAAAAGGATTTTTTCATAGGCCTTCTCAATGCACCCCGCAATCTCATCCCTGTGGGAAGATGATGAAGGTCTTATTACTGAGCACAGAAACCCTCCCAGGCAGTCGTCCCAGCCTGGCACCTGTGATCTGGCCCTTGGTGTGGCACTGCTAGCTGGCCTATGTGACCTGCCATATTTACTGATGGAAGCTCAGAGAAAGGAGGGCTCACCAAACAAGGGCCACAGGGAACCCACACCTACATCGCTCTGATTCCAGGGCCCAAACTGAATCCCACTCCCAGCTGTAAGGATTTCAAGCTGTCTAAAACACAGCTTTGGATCCACGAGCGGATCTCTTCACACAATGCCCCTGTCACAAGGGTGCTGCACTCTACTTCACAGATCCTGTGGGGTTCCTGAAAGCCATCCAACCGCACCATGAACACTCAAGACGGAGTGAGATCACCCCTAGGGGAGATGGCCACACTGCAATCCCTCCTCCATTCTCCTGTCAGGATCTCGGGCACGCACACACATGCGTCCAGCGTGAGTTTAAGCCACCAGGTCCGGTACTTGAACCACGGCTGACTACAGGGGAGTCCAGCGACATAGCCATTATGCCAACTGCTGACCTGCAAAAATCTCTTTAAAAAAAAAAAAAAAATCACCCAGGTACCAGCAGGTGGCAAAGTGGTGACAGTGCTGGACTCCCACATGGCCAACTACAGTTTGAGTCCTGGACCCGACGGCTTGAAAATCATGCCAAGCATGTGTGTGTACATGCCCAAAACCCCAGGAAAAAAAGGGATTGTGGCATGACTATACTCCCTGAAGGATGACTTTCTCACTTTCCCTCTCACTGTCTCTCTCTCTGGCAAGAGCATGCACCTATGACAAAACCTAAAAAAAAAACAAAAAAACAAAAAAAAAAACACCTAAACCCACTAAGTTACCCCTTACCCCTCCTTACTCCAGTTCTATCTCTAGGCTGACTTTTGCCACCCAAGGAATAGGAAACCCACTTCAACCTGGTGCTTGCCACTTCAATACTCTTTTACTCCTCGAGGACTTGTATGCCATGCCCATATGACCTCGTGATGTCACCTGTGCATGCAGCAATCTGAGGGACTGTTGAGACCTGGCAGCCCCATTCTAGAGATGAGAGAACTGAAGGTACAACAGTTCAGGGTGCTTGAAGTGAGGTCGTGACACTCACTGGATGAGTGTGTGGGCCAGGAGATGGGCTAGAGCTTCTGAGAGGCAGAACGGTCCTGTCTGGGTGCCAAGCCTATGCTCAGGTTTGATGGCACGGGAACAGGCCAGGAAGAGATGAGGGCTGTTACCCATAGTCCCCTGACCAGGTCCAGTTTGTAGAAGAGTACTGAGGTGCCGGCAGAACAAACGTGTCCAGCCTACCCAGATCACAAGTGGTCGGAATGAGATTCAAAGTAGGGGCTGGGAACCAGCAGTTAGCGTAATGGCTATGTCGCTGGACTCCCACGTAGTCGACCGCGGTTCGCGTCCCGGACCCGGTGACTTAAAACTCACGCCGGGCGTGTGTGCGTACGTGCCCAAGATCCCGAGAGGAGAATGGAGGAGAAGGGATTGCGGCGTGACCATCCCCCCTGGGGGGTGATTTCTTGCTTTCTGTCTCTATGTCTCTCTCTGTCTGTCTGGCGAGCGCACGCGCCCTATAGCGAAAAAACCTCTCCAAAAAAAAAAAAAAAAAGTAGGGGCTGACTGACCCCAGAATCCAAGCTCTTTCTGTACCCCACAGGGCCCTGGTCTCCCACACACCTGATAGTATCAAGCAGGATGTCGATGAAGAAGGTGTAGCTCTCCGCAGGGATGTTACCCTTGGCCAGGAACACCTTGTTGTAGCTGCCCTCCATCAGGTACTGCAGAGGCAAGGGAGGGGGAAGAAGGGAAGATGACGATGTGGTGCGGAGCCCCCTGTACCCCCACAATCCCTACTCCAAGAACAACCTCTGCCATACTGCCACCCACTCCCCATGCAGACTGGGTTTTCTAAAAATTTATGGAAAATGCACATTATGAAGAAACTATGCATGGATTTCAAAACATCGAAATAAACTTGTACTTCAATTATATCTTTTTTCCATGAAATTTTTGAAATCCCCTTGTAAACACACACACACACACAGTCTCCAAGACTGCCCTGGGCTAACATCTCACCTCACCTACAGCAGGGAGGCAGAGCTGACCCACCCAGGCTCACACCCCCACACCTTTGCCCGAACCGTGCTGCCTACACGAATTCTCTCCCCAATCCTTTCCCCACAGCCAATCCTCCGAGACCTCAACTCCAGGAACAATGTCCTCATCTTAGGTCCTGGGCCTTTTCCCTGCCTGGCTCACCTTGTTCCAGAAACACAGTCTTCCTTGCTATCCTTCAAACACGGCAGACATGTTTCAGTTCGGGATGTTTGGACTCGCTGCTCCCTCCCCGGACGTCCATGTGGTTTGGGTCCTCATACTTCTCAAGACTTTCTCAAATTCTACCCAAGGCCTTCCCTGACTGCCCTGTTATAAAACCATCCCAACCAGGAACCAGCAGATGGCATAATGACTATGTTGCTGGGCTCCCATGTAGTCGACCACAGTTCGAGTCCCGGATCCACTGTCTTAAATTCACGCTGGGCAAGTGTGCGTGCGTGCCCAAGATCCCAAAAGGAGGATGGAGGAGAAGGGATTCTGGCATGGCCATCTCCCCGGGGGCTTTCTGTCTCTGTCTTTCTGTTTGTCTTTATAGCAAAAACCTCTCAAAAAAATAAACAAATAAAACAACCTCTACCCCTGACACTGCACTGTCCTTCCTCTATTTTTCTTCCCATAGCACTTAAAATCTGACACTCTGGAGGTTACTTATTCTTCTGATTTACTGTTTGTTTCCTGACTTAAATGTTATCCTCCCAAAATCAGGATTTTATGTTTGACTCACTGCACAGTCTGAAACCCACTACAGTGCACACAACTGGGGCCCAACATGTGTTAGAAGAACAAACGGAAATCCACGGGTTAAAAGAAGGGGTAAGCCCACCACTCCCCCAAGAAGCCCTCCCTCATGCCTGTCCCCACACCATCCACTTTGGCCAGACTTCCCCTCCCCTTCCGCAGCCTCACTTGCTCGAGGGACACAGGGTGCTTGATGTAGACGTTGGTCTGGATGTCCTTGGCAGGCAGGCGCTCCAGCTCTGTGTGGAACTCAGCCACTCGGTTCTGGGACAGCAGGAAGAGAAGGTTGAGGCCCAAGAGCTGGTGCATGTAAGCCGACTCAGGGAGCTGCTCCCTGTAGACCCAGGAGGGAAAAGCAAAGTAAGGAGGATGTAGGGACCTACCGAGCCCCCACCCCAGGCTCCAGGACCCCGATAACTGCCCAGGATTATCTCCTTGATGGAGTTCTAAGTCCTGGGCTTTGAAATGAGGAAACTGAGGCCCAAAGAAGTCAATTTTAAGTCATATTGACCCAAGCAAATCTCACTCTTCAGTGAAAAGACACAGCTTCAATTTCCCCAACCGCAAAATGGTTACCACCACAATAATCCATCATAGAGATGAGCTAAATGAACAAGGAATAAATAAAATTAAATGACTTAATCCCGGTCAAGTGATTGGAACAGTACCTGGTCCAAATAAACACTGCATAATGGTTAACTATGATTAAATTATAAACAATCTCTCTCTCTCTCTCTCTCTCTCTCTCTCTCACACACACACACACACACACACACACACCTCTCACATACTTTTTTAAAAAATTATTTTATTTAACTTGGTCTGGGACTCAACCCACAGTTGGTCATGTGGGACTCCAGTGCCCCTAACCAGCCCATCACCTGCTGGCACCCACACACACTTTTAAGGGAGAACTGAGACTAAGAGAGGTGGTCATTTACCCAAGACAACACAATTTGGAAGTGACAAATGCCAAACCCAAATATGTCTTAAGGTTGAATTTTTTTTAAAATAATTATTTATTTGTTATTATTATTTTAATTTCACCCGAGAGAGAGAAAGGGAAAGTGAGAAAGCAAGCCAACAGGTCCAGGACTTGTGGGAGTCCAGAACCTTAACCACCATGCCACTTGCCAGCCCCAAAGTTGAATTTTTAATCATTAATCCATGTAAGTATCACCCAAAGTTATACTCAACACACACCTGGTGAGTCCTGCTCTGGCCCTGTGGTAAGCAATGCTAGGGATACAGCAGTGACAGTTCCAAGTGCTGCCTTTAGGAAGCTCACAGTACAGTGGGAGGGGCAGGGTTGAGATGGGAGGGCATAGGCTGGGGGTGTCAGGGTCAGGACTAGGAAGGCACGAGTAGGGAAGCCAGGGCTGGGACAGCATTAAAGAGCACAGGAAAGAACTTGGGCTTGGGTCTAAATGCTGTGGAGAGCCATGACAGGTTCTGAGCAGAAGATGAAAGGTCAAATCTTAGTGTCACAAGAATCCTACTGGCTGCCACAGGGGTATGTCAGAGAGGATCAGGCTGGGGCCAGGAGAAGCGAAAGGTGACGGCGGTCATACTGGGCAGAGGGGATGTAGTGTGGGGAGAGAGAGAGGAAGGCAGGTTGGAAGCCTACAGAGACTGAATTATACGACCAGTCTCAGGACCTCCAGGCCAGCCTCCTGACCCTGCATCCTCTGGGGATGGAGCTGAGCAGCACAGGACTCCCTAGGCGAAGGAAGATGACCAGAGTGGCTGGAGCATCAGAGATAAAAGAGCTTCTATGTACCGCCACCCCCCAAATCGGGGGCAGGACCCGTCCTCACTTGTAATCAAAGTAGTAGCATTTGAGCTGGGCCATGTAGCGCTCGAAGGAGGGGATGTCTTTGCGCAGGATGCTCCACTGGGCCCCAATCTCCAGTATGTCACCTGTGGGTGACAGGGCAGGCTCTCAGATGACTGGGTTCCCTTCCCCGACCACCTCTGCTGCCATTCCTGCCAGAACTCTCAGTCTATCACCTCCCACCAACCCCAGTGACACTCACGGGCCAGAATGAGCTGCTGTTTGGTCAGCTTGGTCCCTGTGGTTGGCAGAAAGTTGAGCTCCAGCAGAACCAGCTGATGGGAGGAGAGAGAAGGAAGGAAGGAATAAGATGGGATTTCAAATACAGATTACTTACCTTCTCTAGGCTGGGGCTGTCTCACCTGGAAAATGGGGCTAATTGCCATCCTTGACTCATGAACTGCTTGTAAATATTAAAGGACTCAGCGTTCATAAAGCATGCAGAACAGGGCTTGAGTACACAGTAAGCAAGCATTTAGAATTACCTCCTACTACAATTATGAACGGCCCTACTAGGGAAACAGCAGAGATACCCGATGCCTGAGCCAAAGGAACCATAGGGGGGCACAAGCACCTTCCACACTTTGTTAGGTTGGGGTAACTGAGCTACCCCCAACATCCACATCAGGGAGGGAGAGGCACTAACCTCTTTGCACAGCCCAGCCCACACATCATTCTTAAACAATTATTATTTTATTTAACTTTATTTATAATTTATCCAGAAAGGGACAAAGCAAGAGAAAGCCAGTCGCTAGGTCTGGGACTCGAACTGTGGTCAATCAGCACCCTTAACCACCATGCCACCTGCCAGCCCCTACACATATCATTCTTTCTTTTTTTTTTTTAAAGAACTATTTATTTATTTTTATTCATTCATTTTATTTTAATTTGATGAGAAAGAGAAAAAGCAAGCCACCAGGTCCAGGACTTGAACTGTGGTAGGCCATGTGGCTGTGTCCAGCACTTTAACCAGCACGCCACCTGCTGGTCCCCCACACATCATTCTTTGGCAGACTCAGCACCTTAGTCCAGCCCACTGTGTTGTTTACACTCCCTCCCAAACACACCTTGACCTGGAGCACCCTGAGCCCCAGGTTTTTGTTTTCTACCTATAAAAGTATTCCGAAGTTCAGTCCTGCTCCACCCCCCCACACACACACAAATGCCCACATCTCTCAGATCCTAACGTGGCCTGGTCCTACACACATCCCCGAGACACCCCATCTTTACTCTCATCGCCCTGTACAGTCAGTCCTCATTTCCCACCTGGTCTGGACAGAAAAACCCCGACACCACCTTCCTGCGATTCGGACCGGTCAGGCCTCCAAGCACGAGGGTTCACCCCGCACTCGGTTCTGTCCTCCCCTCACTGCCCTCCTGCCCCGCGCGGCCAAACGTGGCCCATTCCCCCTCTCTGGGAGCCCCTCCCCCCGAGTTCGCACCCCGGCTGCTCCGATCTTTTACCCCATCGGATCTCGCAGCCCGCCTGGCTCCGGTGGGCACCAAGGCCTGCTCCCGCGGCCCTGAACGTGGCTCTGTCCAGACCCGGTGCAGCGCCCCCCGCCGACGCTCGGTTTCCTCGGCTCGCCGACCCCTACCTTGAGACGGCCCAACTCTTCCCCGCACTTGCTAAGATTGGGGCTTTTACGGTTCCACTCGCCCTTGAGTTGCTCATACATGCCGGCTGCGGCCTGAAGAACGCCTGAGGCTGCCGAAGGCCCGGAGCTCGAGAGCCCGGCCGCGCCGTTCACAGCCGCAGCCGCCATCTTCCGTGATGCGGCAAACCGCCTGCCTGATTTACGGCAGGGGCGGCCCCCAAAGAGGGCACCGGCGGAACGAGGCGC